CACATGTTTGTGGGGGTGCATTTGTCTCTACACACATGCACAAATCAGAAAAGAGTGTCAGGTGTTGCCCTACCATTCTCTACCTGTTCCTTTGAGGCAGAGTTTCTCCCTGAACCTGGGACTTGAAGTTTCTTCACTAGGCTGAAGTTCAGAATTGCCAGTGATTCCCCTGCCTCTCCACCCCTTGGAGATAGGGCTCCAGATAACTCCCATACAGGAGTTTGCAGTCAGGGTGACTAGCTTATTATGTGGTACCAGGATCTGAAACGCTGGTCCTCATAATTGAGCAGCAAGCACTCTTAAGTGCTGAGCTATCTCTCCAGCTCCGGGTGTGTCATTCTAATGAAGAATAAATCCCAAAGGGAAATCCCTTGGAGGCATTCCCCTGGGCTTCGGGAAAGGTTAGGTGCCTGTGTCTGAATGCGATGGACCATGGTCTAAATATCTCTGTTACCTGGGAATAGGCCAGCTCCAGGAAGTAACTGACCAAAGTCTTTGCATTGAACTCGGGGCTTTGGGGATCCTCCACCAAGGGTTGGTCTCCACATAGCACATCCCAGCACAGGTTAATTGGAGGATTATAATTATTGGGGAGCACACCTGTAAACCAAATTGGACTCAGCACCCCAGACCTTCCCTGGGGTCAGAGCCTGCCATGTCCCACCCAGGATAGACTTCTGGATTAGAAAGGGCTGATACCAAAAGAACACACAGAGACCAGCTCAAAAATCATTAAAAATTCTAAGATAATCACAGCACATCTCAAAATCCCACCTGGACCCTTCTGAGCTTGAGATCCTGTGTGACTGTCCTACCCTCCCTCCGCCTCACCAGTAAAGAGGTCAGCAGTTGGGGGCTTCAAGCTGGCACTGCCTCTCCACACCTCCTCCATCTTGAGTTTCTCCTCCCGAGCAACTTTATCTTGATAGTCAATGCGCCCAAGGAAGAAGCCATCAAAACCCATCTGGGGTGCAGAAGAAGGGATGAAGTTAAGGGGTGCGGTCCTTCTTTCCCAGTTGGTAAAGACAGCACAGAGACAGTATACACAACTAAAACTAGGTTTCAGGGGGGCTGAAAAATGGCTCAGTGGTTAAGAGCCCTATCTGCTCTTCCAGAAGACCAGGGTTCAATATCTAGCATCTACTATATGGTGGCTCACAATCATCCAGTACTCCAATTCCAGGGGATTCTACAACTGTCCTCTGTAGGCACTGCACAAACATGGTACACAGACATACATGCAGGCAAAATACTCATATATTAAATAACACATGGCATGAGAAACTCATATACATTAAATAAAACTAAGAAAAATAAACTAGATTTTTTTGAACACAGGGCCTCAGCAGTCTGAGGCCACGCTCACCTCAATTCACAGTCTCCCTGCACCAATTGCATACACGACAGGAATGGATGTGTACTTCTAAGCTTGAGAGGGTCAGCAAAGAAGGGACGCTCTAGAGCCGAAACCCTTTCGCCTCCCTGGTTATGTCAAAGTGAAAAGGAGGCCTTTCCACTCTCCACCCCACAATCCAAGGTGGGGTAGGTCAGCACAGACATGAAGCTGGTTTTAAAGCAGGGTAGCACCACTGGTCACTGTTCAGAGAGAAGCCCCAACCCTAGCAGGGGGGTGGAGTCCAAATTTTAATACAGACTTGTCAAGGGAAGGGACCAAACCAGCTGGAGAAAAGCAAAGCAGTTTAACCCTGTGGTGCCTTAGGACATAGACCAGGGCTTGAACTCAACTCACAGGAAGCAAGTTCACCCGAGAGGTGGCATCTCAGCAAGCCAGGGTCTAGTCCCAGAAATCACTAGAGAAGGGCAGCATTTGAGCAGCTAAAGGATTAAAGGTCAGGTCCAAAGAAAATAGGGTGGCTGGCACCTGGGCAAACAGAGAGGCCTGTTCTCGAGAGTGGCCAAAAGGGTCAATATGCCAGGCCACACGGGGACGCCCACTGCTACCGAATGTGTCTTGCAGGAAGTGTAGCCCAAGTGTCATCTGATCCACAATGGCACCATAGTAGGTGGCTGCCTCATCATTCATCACCCAGCCACCATTGACAAACTCCAGGCGCCCTGTGCAGGGAGGGCAAGGGGAGGAGATTATCTGTTAGGAACAGGATCATCACAGGTGAGGCTAGGGAAACAGACCATACCGCTACTGAAGCGGGAGAGCAGGGGAGCTTCCAAGCCAGTATGCTTAGATCTGCATGACAGGCTTCCCGGGAAGCCACTGGAGGCAGGCCCTTGTGGGACACTGGTCTCCACAGGAAAAGAGATTCTAAGCAGGTAGAACTATAGACCTTCCGTTCCAGAACTAGGGAAGCAGGAGAATTTCCACAAGTTTAAGGCCAGCCTGATGTAGATATCAAGTTCCAGGCCAAGAAGGGCTATATAATAAGAGCCTGTCCCAATAAATAAAAATAATAAATAAATAAGTAAGTAATCTCCGAGATCAACCTGGGCTGGGCTTACGCCTTTCTCTCCTTGGGGTGGACTCACCCTGGTGCACCAGTCTCCGTACAGCATCCTGTGTTGCGTTTGTCTGCTCCTTCCACCAACGAGAAAAGAAAGCCATCTCCACGTAGATGAAGCGACGGGTGGGATCCTCCAGTAGAGAGGAGATTACCGAGTCCAGGATGTGCCGAACAGATGCATGATGAACATCATTTAGGACTGTGGACAGGAAGGTCAGGCAATGAGGGACCACGAGAAGACATACCCTGATACAAGATGACTCATTGTACAAGCAAGATGTCACCACACGCACCACGATGTCCAAGTCCCTGAAAAACTTAGAAGGGCCCCGCCCCCCACTCTCTACTCACTGCCATAATAGTACTGGTCCACTGTCTTCAGCCAGCCTACGTCATCATGTGTGTGAGGCAACAGGTGCACGTTGAGCATGCCTGGCTTCACTGGGGGACATGTCTGCACAGAGACCCCAAAACATACACATCCGCTGTCAGTACCCAAGAGTGGAGAGGCCAGCAGGGGGCTCTGAGGTAATCTTTGCCTAACGTGTCCAAGACTGTAAGCCTGACCTCCACCTTCACAAAGCAGGCAGGGAGGTGGTACAAACACAAGTCTTGACTCTGGAGTGACACCGAGAGATCAAAACTATCGTCTGTCCCAGGCTTTCTCAGGTAGGACACACCGAGTATTGTGCTCATAGACACAAATCCCACTTTGCACAAACCCCATCTGGCAGATTTCATACTGCATGGAAACAACTTCAGTAGTAGCTGGGGTTAGCTGAGCATTCACAGACAGCAGACAACCACTCTGAGACGCGGGGCAGTATTAGCTCTAGTTGAGCTCTGAGGCATGGTGTAGAGAGGTCACTTGCACAAGGAAGGAGCCAGGAAGCTGAGAAGTCCAACTGGGACTCCAGGCTACCTGAAGGGTGGTGGAAAAGGATGAACAGCCCAGCTCACATACTCACACTCTGGGAGGGAAGATGGGCAGCCTTTCCTCGTGATGTAATCAGATTTGCAAGGCTGCTTTTCCAGCAGAGCCGCCCCAAATAGGGCTTTGGGGAATGCACTGTCACCAAACAGCGGGTTCATGCAAGTGGAACCATAGCAAGTACAACCTGTACAAAGCTTAGCGTCCTGTTCTCAAATGGCCGCTAGTCCTTGGCACAACCAATCACAGTTAAGTGCATGCAAAGTCCAAGCAGGCCCGCTGGAGTCACAGGAAGGCGGGTACAATCTTGAGCAGCCCAGTTCTTAGGCGCACGCCAGACATTTTCGGAGACCCAATGCACGCACTTAGATCACACAATCAGATCAGCAGCAGTGACCTATGGATAAGTGCCACTCACACCTCTGGTTCAACTCTAGCTCAAATACATTTCCGCCCTCGGACCCCAGCTCACCTCGTAACCCGCGGCCCAAGCGCCAGGTGTGGCCAGTGACAGCCAAAAGAGAAAAGAAATAAGCAGGACAGGAGAACCTAGAGTGCAGAAGTTCATCGAGAACCAAACAGCACTCCCGCCACCAGCACAGACATCAGAGGCCAGCGGTGGGGTGCCCATGGCTCAGGAGAGGCTTCTTCTGTGGGTTTCCCTTATCCAACTAAATCCCCGAGAATGCTCCGCCCCCAGAACCCGAACCAGCCAATCGGCACAGAAGGGGGCAGGGCCTAGGTCATCTATGAACTGTGGCTGTAGACTGCTGTACTGAGGAATTAAAGAGGACAGGCGAGTACTGAGTCTGTCCCCAACTCCATTCCACCCAGGACTCTTTTGGCAGGAGACCTTAGCTGTAAGGCTTTGCTATGCTTTTGTATGAGTGTAAGCAAAGGATTCAACTTTTTCAGCGGAAGTCAGTGTTTCCTAAGGAGTGGAAGTGTAGGTGGCATTCTAGGATGCCACACTGTTAGGGCTGGGGTCGTTCGTGGAGGGGCCTAGCGTGGCTAGCAGCTGGGGTTGAAAACAGTTCTGGTGGGGACTGAGATGAGGCACCCAGCAGGGTTTGGACAGAGGCTGAACCTCCTGTGAGCTGGGAGGGCCCTGGGGGGACAGGGGAACCCTGAGTCTTTCATACCCTTTCCAATCCCTACCCGTCTATTCGTTACTCTGTTGCTCTAAGAGAACCCCAGGCCAGAGTCTGCTGTGTTGGTGTGTAGTTGTAATCTTAGCATGCTGAAGGCTAGGGCAGGATATTGTCATCCCAGCTACATGATTACCAGGCTGGCTGGGGCTACACAGGGACACACAAATACATAAAACCTAGAAATATAGCTCTGTGGTATTGCACCTGTGTAGAATGGATAAAGCTCTGAATTCTGTACCCTGCACCTCAAAATAAACAAGTAGGTTAAATAAAGAAAGAAACAAAAGAAACCAAGGCCAAGGTTAGTTAGGTCGGCAGGGCCAACAGTCACCCAAGTGTGGAAATAACTGTCTTGCCCCCGATGCCTAACTCACAGTTACGCAGCCCGGCCTTCCCTGGGCAGAGCAGTACCTCGTGAACAAAAGAGAAGCGATACAGCCATTCAGAGTGGAAATTTTTATATCAACTGGTTTCAACAAGAAAACTAGTGCATATTTAGAAACATGAACAGTGTTTCCCATAACAGTGGCCAGGGGAGGGAAAACAAAAGGGAAATCTGTGGGTTTACCCCTCTGTCAAAGCAGAAGCGGGACCCCGAAGAAAGGGTCAGCTTCCTCCATCCAACTGGGAGACCAGAGACAACACACAGGCAAGTTTAAGGACAGCAGCTAAGGGCAGGTTGGAGGCAGCCAAAGGCTAGACCAGAGAGAAGGTGGGCAGGAGTCCAGGATCCAAGTCCTCTAGGTAACATCACCATGGGGGTGTCATGGGCTGAGGATTCTGCAGATAGGACATCACCACGGCAGAGATGGAGAGCCTGAGACAAAAAAGAGTTGTCAGTTCTAGACAGAAGGCATGGGACCCCATCCCCTCACTTAGGATCCTCACATGAAACTGCTCATCATCTGCTTCGTGTCCTCCGAGCTCCGAGAGTTGGCAAAGCTGATAAAGGAACAGTAGACAGCAACCCAAGCGCACCACTTCAGCTGAGGACAGGTGAGTGGGAAGATCGCATCAGTGGGAAGAATGCCAGGAAGCCCCCACAACCCGCGTCCTCAGGCATCAGCTTGGACACTGCCCCAGGACGCACCCCAATACCAACCCTTCAGAGCCCGCTCCAAGCAGCAGGCTACTGACCCTGACCTGTGTACCCTGTATCTCTGACCCCACCATATTCCCACGTGCTAAGGACCCTGCCCTTTTCCCAAGAGTCGTCTGAAAATTGCTTCGAAGTCACACCTCACCCTCAGACCCGCTGTCATGTACTCGTTAACTGCAGCCCCAACTTGCCCTGTGTGGGAGGTGTCACCGTAGCTCAGCTCCCCACTGACCTCACCCCACCCTACCTCCAGCACCATCAGAAGATTCCTCCATCTGAACCCGCCCCCAGGCCTCATTCTCGGGAGCAGCAACAGGCACCAGAGACATTCAACCCCGCCCACCTTAAGCATGAGGCCGCACATGCTGAAGATCATGCCGAGGAGATTCATGTAGTCCGGCGTCGGGTCGTCCAGAGCTGGGTTGCACTCGCTGGGCGGAGGCTTATACCTGCGACAGGTTCAAGGGTCAGGAGCCACCAAATCCCACCTGGGCTGACACCTGGCCTGGGCCCGCGGCCACAACCAGAGACGCCTTGCCATGACTTGCTGGACTGCTCACCTCAGCACTTTGTTGGGTCTCCGTGGGTCGGACATATTGTTGGTGGACATAGCGAGTGCAGACCACTCCGTACCTCTTTCCCTGCTACAACACCAGCTTCCGGAGTGAGAATGAAGGGTGGCTTTTAGAGTAACACCAGTAACCTAGGCTGCTCTCAGCCGGAGAACAGGGAAGAAGAAAAAGCCCAGAATAGCTCCTAGAAAGTAGGCAGTATGGAAAAAACTGAAAGGAACCTTCGGTATTCCCAATACTGTGGTCAACACGACGAAAATTTGATCACGGAAGTGTGAAGCAGGAAATACACCCTGGGGGACAATAATAAGGTTACACCCCAGCAAGGGTTTTGAAAGCCTGGAAGCAAGGCAGTCTCAGTACAGACTGCAGCAATGCGGGTAGCATTTGAACTAATGCATTTGAACTATGGCTTTTCCTGCGCCAAAGCCACGGGCCCCGGAGCTGCCGCAGAAACGGTTGAAGACGCTGGACTGCGGCCAGGGCGCAGTGCGAGCCGTGCGATTTAATGGTGTCTTCGTCTCCATCCTGGGCCTTCTGCCTCCTGAGGCTGGAGGTCCTGTAACCTCCTCCTGCTGCTCCCCAGTGGATGGCAACTACTGCCTGACGTGTGGCAGCGATAAAACCCTGAAGCTGTGGAACCCGCTGCGTGGGACGCTGCTGCGGACGTACAGTGGCCACGGCTACGAAGTGTTGGATGCAGCCGGGTGAGCACGAGGCCAGACTGGGATGAGGAGCGCAGAGGCTAGGGTCGGAAGTTGATAATGACCTTCCCTTTCCTGCCCGCCAGCTCCTTTGATAACAGCCATCTCTGCTCTGGTGGTGGGGACAAGACGGTGGTGCTGTGGGATGTGGCAACTGGACAGGTCGTGCGCAAATTTCGGGGCCACGCTGGAGTGAGTACAAGCCAGAAGACCCCATTAACGTGTGCATTGTGGAGATCTATATTGGCGTGTAGGTGGTTCGAGGAAGATCCTTCCATTACTGTCTTTCCCGTGTGCCCAAGAACCTGTTCACCTCCCTTACCAGTAACAACGAGTCTCTCCTTTATCCCAATCTTCCAAAAAAAAAACCCCTCCTCTAAGTAGTAATTCCTGTTTCTCAGAAGGTGAACACCGTTCAGTTTAACGAAGAGGCCACAGTCATCCTGTCTGGTGAGTCTAGGGTCAGGACAGCTAGAAAATGGTTGCTGCCCAGGGAGCCAAACCTGACCTCACCTTCATGTTGACCTCACAGGGTCTATCGATTCCAGCATCCGATGCTGGGACTGCCGTTCTCGGAAGCCTGAGCCAGTGCAGACGCTAGATGAAGCCAGAGATGGCTTCCAAAAGGATCAAAGACCTCAACATAAATCCAGCCATACCTCTTAGAAGAGAAAGTGGGAGGTACCCTTGAACGAATTGGTACAGGAGACCACTTCCCGAACATAACTCCTGTAGTACAGACACTGAGATTGACAATTAATAAATGGGACCTCCTGAAACTGAGAACCTTCTGTAAGGCAAAGGACACAGCAAGACAAAAAGGCAACTCACAGAATGAGAAAAGATATTCACTAACCCTACATCCGACAGAGGGCTGATCTCCAAAATTTACAAAGAACCAAGAAGCAAGCCTCCAAAACACCAAAGGATCCAATGAAAAAGTGGGGTTACAGAACTAAATAGAGAATTCTCAATAGAGGAGTCTAAAATGGCCAAATGACACAAACACAGCACTTAGACAAGAGAAAGGGGCACATCTAAAAGACTTGAAAGTTTTAGTTTTACAGACAGGAGGCAAACTCCCCAATCGCTGCTCAGATTCAGATGGTGGGTTAACTAGCCGGATTTCCATCCAAATTTAGATTCAGATGGAGGGATTCCCCACCCAGACTAGAAGACGAGAAGCTGGGATGTCTCTCAGCTTCTGTAGGCCTGGCCTTACAGGCATGTCTGCCAAGGTTCTGACCTGTTTTATACAGGTTGACTGCTAGTGATCCACAGCAAAAACATAAAATTACAAACCTGTCACAGAACTCAGGACACAGAACTTGCCAGACCGGTTAGAGCCAAATCAGGCAGAGGACAGATATAGAAACCTGCCTAACTAGTCACCCAACCAGCTGGAGAGGAAACATAAGCCAAAGCTCCTACAGCCAGAAACAGAAAGAATTTACCTGGACAAAACAGAAACCTGACAAACAAACACAGGACATTTACCTGTCGGGCCACGGGCCAGAGTTTAAACCTTCATGGGGGGCGTGTCCTGGGGATCCCAGACAAGCCCCCAGATGTTGTGCTCAAGTCACAAGGATACCCAAAGAGATCACTATAGAGACAGACCCATCAAACTGTAAAGACAAGGTTTTTTGTTCATCCAAGCATGACAGGTACTTCGTCTAGCTGGCTGACACAGCAGCCACCAAAGGAAGAGAAATCTCTTGTCTACTGCCAGAATTGAAGGAAAAAAATCACAGAATTAGAAATCTCTTGTCTACTGCCAGAATTGAAGGAAAAAAAATCACAGAATTACATCAGTAGGTACAGGTTGGTTTCTGATTGGTTGACATTTGGGAACAATTAGGAGAATTTCTCAAAGTCATATTTTAGCATGAAATACCTGTGTACCAATTATTTTCATTGGTCAGTGCTGAGAGGGAACATTCTGCAGTTTCTATGGCTTTGTCTTGTTACTTACAGGTGGCCTGTTGTTCATAGATACCAATAGTTTTTAGAACTGTATCCTGGAGACTACAGTGGAGTTCTTGGTCTCCCCTGGAGTTTCTTTTGTGGCCTAACGGTTCCCAGGTACCAAGCATCTAGGAGGCTAAGGTGGGTCAGGAGTTTCTCTGTCATGTGCTGAGTCAGAGGCCTGCATGTCTTTTCTGTAGATGTCATGGCTGCTAAAGGGGGGGACCTGAGTGAGGGTCTGGTCCCTTCAGAATGCTCAAAAAAAAGCACTTGGGAAGCAGAGGCAGGCAGATCTCTGTGAGTTTAAGGCCAGTCTGATATACAAAGTGAGTTCCAAGACAGCCAGGATTGTCACCCAGAGAAACCCTGTCTCGAAAAACAAAACATAAAAAAAACCGACAAACACCATGCTGAACCCTAGTCTAGATCTGGTTTGTTTTTTGAGATGGGGACTCAGTATATAGACCAGGCTAGCCTTGTGGCAGTGCTCCCAGCTCTGCCTCCTGAGTGCTGTACCTCAAAGCCTGGCCCAGCTCAGATAACATTTCATTCTGTAAGTCAAAATAAGGATCCCAAAAAGCTGAGCATAGAGGTTAGTTTTGTTAACTATGGGAGATGGGGAGATGGGTCAGTAGTTAAAAGCATTGGCCTCTCTTCCAAAGAAACCTGATGACTTACAATTGTCTGTAATTTTGGTTCCAGAGGATCTGATCCCCTTTTCTATCCTGTGTAGGCACCAGGCATGCACATGGCACACAAACATACATTCAGGAAAAACACATAAGAAATTTTGAAGTAAATAGAATAGTGTATGTGCATCTGTATGGAAGGGGCGATGTGTACTGGTGGGGGTATCGGCAGAGGTCAGAGGCATTAGATTCCCCTAGAGCTGCTGCTGTTGGCAGTTGTGAGCTACCTGATGTGCCCACTCATCTTTTTGTTGTTTTTCAAGACAGGGTCTTGGCTGTCCTGGAACTCACTCTGTAGACCAGTCTGGTCTGGAACTCAGAGATCCGCCTGCCTCTACCTCCTGAGTGCTGGGATTGAAGGTGTGCGCCACCACCACCTTTTTCTCTTTCATTTAGTAGTGTGTGTACAAGCTTATGTGTTGCAGTCAGAGGACAAAGTCAGTTCTCTCCTTTAGTATGCTGAGGCAGGATCTCTCTTGCTGTTGCTGTCATACTAAGTACTCCAGGCTAGCTGGCCCTTGACTTTCCAAGAGCTTCTTCTGTCTGCACCTCCCATGTCCCCACCAGAAGTGCTGGAATTTTAGATGCCTGCTACTTCATGCAGCTATTTGGGTTCCCGAGATCAAACTTGGATGTCAGTCTTGCTTTTTCCCCCGCTGAGCCATCTCCCCAGCCTACAGATACCATTTAATTTGTTTGATGACATGGAACTTTGTTGTGGTTGACTCCACGTTGTGGCCCAGAGCTCAAGAATTTAGGCAAAAAAAAGGCTGCCTATGCCAGTCCACATCTCTCCTTGGCCATACCTGGTTGGCTACTCTCATCTTCAAGCCCCACTTCTGATGTCACCTAGGTGGTCTTCCCTTGTTCAGCATAGGCTACTGAATGATAGAAGCTTTGCCGGCTCTTCCATTGAAAGAGTTGCAGTTCCCAGTATGAACTGCCTAGCAGGGCAGAATAAATGTAACCCTGGGGCTGGAAAGATTGTCCAGTGGTTTACAGCACTTGTTCCTCTTTCTGAGGACCAGACTTTGATTCCCAGCATCTACATAGTGGCTCCAGTTCTAGGGAAGCCCACATGCTCTTGTGGCCTCCCCAGGGAACTAGACACACACATGGTACACATGCATACATGATGGGGAAGTCCTGTGTATATGTCAATAAAGCACTGTTGGCCAATAGGGAAGTAAGATAGGTGGGACTAGGAGTCCAGGAGGACTCTGGGTAGGAGAAACACAGGGAGTAATCGTGTAGCCCACCAGAGAAGTAAGATGTCCGTCCCATAAGAGAAATACTTAGATGGGTTAAATACTTAAGTCAGAGCTAGCCAGTAAGCAACAAGCAAGGCCAACAGCTTCATAACTAATACAGAGTCTTGTGTGTTATTTGGGGACTACAACGTGGCAGAGCCCAGGCGACTGCTGGGGAAAAACCAAAGCTGCTGGCAAGGAAAAGTCATCTCTCTACACATACAGAAAAAATATTCATGCACACGAGATAAAAATAAATCCAAGAAATAATAAAAATTTATGTAAACAAATGTAACCATGATCTGGCCTTGCATCACTGAGAAAACCTGATCTGCATGTGGGCTTCATATGGCTTTAAGCCCAGGATCCTGACATGCCCCAGGTGGGAGATGAACCATTAGTTTAGTGAGATCAGGGTTCTAGGGCCTCCAAGAAGGAGATATCAGTGGTTGGGGCCCAGTCAGCAGAAGTAAGTTCAGTAAGAGGACTGGGAAAACCATGGAACCCTGGAGACCAGCTCTTGCTTTGGATACTAAGGTAGCTGGAACAGTCTGTCAGCTTCTCAAGCTCCTGACTAAAATTAGCCTGGAAGGGCACACAAAAAGTACACAAAGTACTAGGTTAGGAACTAAAGTATTGTAACTATAGGGTAACAAGGGAAATGACAATCATTGGGTCTGCCAAGTAGGCCTGCTAGCGCCCAGAATGTCAGGGAACAGTGAGACTCAGAACAAGACGTGCCTGGAGCAAGTGGCGGCCAAGAAAGTAGAACAGGGACTTGTGGGGTCTAAAGGCAGTGCCGGGAGGGTCTCCTGGATGCAAAGTGAAGGTTGGGCATGTAGTGCATGCATGTAATCCCAGCAACTGGGGAGGTCATGAAAGACACTGAGTTCCAAGCCAGCCTGTAATCCCAGCACGTTACTGCAAATAAAGAAAGGTTTGTTGAGTCGAACGGTGGTGGGGCACGCCTTTAATCCCAGCACTTGGAGGCAGAGACAGATGGATCTCTGTGAGTTCGAGAACAGCCAAAGCTATTACAGAGTAATGCTGTCTCAAAAACTAAACAAACAGGACAAAAAAAACCCAAAACATAAAAAAGAAGCATTTGCTGCAAGTTTGAGGCCAGCCTGGGATTGCAGAGCCCGTTGGTTTTCTGTTTGTTTTTGTTTTTGTTTTTAAAGGAGGGTAAGAGTGAGTGAGGTATGAGACTCCCGGGATACTTAGTACCTGGAGGTAGAGCTCCAGAGGGGTGTAGTTTGGCCAGGTGATGTCTGTAGTGTATGAGAAGCCATCATAGGCCAGGGGTGGAACACAGTATTAAACACTTGCCTAGTATGTACAAGCCTTGATCCCTAGCACCCAAAAAAAGGCGGAAACATTCAGGTGGAGCCACAAGGAAGACTGGGCCAGGACCCTTCTATGCCCAAGGCTAGGAGTCTGGGCGGAGGGTGTGGCTTGGTGGCAAGATTTGCCTAGCATTCTCAGCACCAGCAAAAGAAGTCAGGGAAGAAGTGACCGCGGGCTTCAGGCTGCATCTCAGGGAGATAGCCTGATCACTAGTAATTGCTCCCCACCATTCATTCCTTAGGGTGCCCTGGCTCTAGCCCTGTCCGTGGGTTCTAGTGTGGTACAGTCATTGGATTACCATCCCACGGAACCCTGCCTGCTGACAGCCATGGGGGGCAGCATCCAGTACTGGCGAGAAGAGACCTATGAGGCAGAGGGTGGAGCAGGCTGAGGCTTAGGGATGTGACACCAAGCCAAAGGACCCACACCAACTCAGAAGACACAACAAAGACCATTTATTCTAGAGATGCTGCTGACCAAGAAGTGTGTGGGCCCAGGGAGGGGCTGATATGTAAAGGTAATAAATAAAGGTATAAAAGGAACCCCAGCCTTTACCAATCTTCTTAGTCCTCATTCTTCTCAGCTGTGAAGGCATCTGCCTTTTGGGCGAATGTCTTAGCCACCAGCAGGGGGAAGACCAGAGAAGCATCAGCATAGACCTGCAGGGAACCTGGGTGAGCCATGGACCCATGGCCACTGCCCATGGACTCGCCCTAGGCAGACAGTTTCTACCTTAACTGGCTGTGCATCCATCTGGATCTTGCCCCAAGAGACAGCCTCATCTGGCCGGGCTCCCGAGTCTGAACCATCAAACTCTTGGGCTGTGTTGATATAGACAGCATAGTCAGCCCCATTCCGCTGTGGGCAGAGGAGAGGCTGGTCAGAAGCCACAGACAGATACCAGAACCAAGGAGGATGGAGTATGACACAGAGGAAGGCCCTGAGAGCTTCTAGGAAGGGCCCATCAGTGCCTGAAGTTACTGGGCAGGTGAGATGGTCCATGTTTCCAGCACAACCACCTCTGGGTACAAGCTGTCCTCCAAAGCCAAAACGTACTACTTCTGAACACCTGTGTGGCAAGTCAGTTAAACCACAGGCAAAGTAAGAACAGTTTATAGGACTGGAGAGATGGCTCAGTGGTTAAGAGCATTTCATGCTCTGACAGGAACTGACTTCAATTCCCACAAGTCAGGTGGCTCACAACCACGTGGAACTCCAGCTCCAGAGGATCCAGTGCCCTCTTTTACACTCTTGTGGGCGTGCTTTACTCACAAGTGTGCATAGGCACACATGCATACACATAGTTAAAAATAAATCACCTTCAAGCTATATGTCATCACATTTAAATTGTGGACATGATTTCCTTCTAGGTTCCTGCCCCAAAATGTGTGTAACTATCTCAAATTTTAAACATAAAACAACAAGACACCAATCCAATACACTGGTGTCATTTTCATTAAGGGACATTCGAGCCAGCTGTGCTAGCATGCCTGTGGTTCCAGCTACCCGGCAGAGCAAAGCAGGATCCAGGGGAGTCAAGACCAGTCTGCATAACAAAGAAAATGGGCTGATCACACAGAAAAATCACAGAGAGTAGCCACGCTGTAGTCAACACCCTGTGCTCAGCAGTAGCTGCAACCAACCATCTGCAGAGGATAAACCTTTTCTTCCCTCAGACCCCTCACTGTCACCGCACAGCCACCAGAGGGCCTCTGCAAGCTCCCGAGTGCTATCTGTCCTCAAGGCCCCAGGCCCAGCTAGCACTGCCTCCAGGCCTTTACCCCTCCACCCTGCTGTTCCTTGGCCACCTCAGCTGCCTCAGGGCCTTTGCACTTGCCGTCCTCTCTCTGTGATGCTCTTTTCCTCATGCATAACCGCAAGGCCTGTGAGAGGCAATGTCTGCTCAAGGTCACCTTCTCCGACACTCCCTGACACTCCCTTTATTAAACTAGCGCTCCTTTCGAATTACAGCATTCCAGATCGGCCCTGAACTGTGTGCAAGCCATCCTCCTGTTTCGTCTCCCGAATAGCTGGGACTACAGTCACCTTGCCTGACTAACATTACTCATGTTCTCAGGAGTACTGTTGCATGTCGTGCATGTCACTCATTACAGTCTGACTGCCCTGCCCCCAACATAACTCCAAAGAGTACAGGGACTCTGGGCCCTCTCATCCACTGCTGTGGTCCATGACTAGCGTGTCATATGTCTGCAGCAGACACCTGCCGAGGGCCACCCCACTCACCATGAGGTTGGCGTTGGCAATGTGGTGCTTGACCATACCTCCACCAAGGATGATCATCCCAGAGCGCTTGGCGAAAATAGCCTGCGTGTTGATGAGTCGCAGGTCTGAGAGAGAGGGCTGAGGTCAGGCGTTTGGCCTCTGTGGGCCCTCCTCCCTCTTCTCCCAGGGCCTCAGCGCCTCACCTTCAACGATGTCCAGAACTAAGCCTAGGTTTTTGGAGGAATGGAAGATCATGTCACCCAGGGAGCCATCTGTGAGTGCAGGACTCAGCACAGCAATGTGGTTCTGGTGTGAAGACAGGACCAGTTAGCTACAGCTCAAGCCCAGAAAAACTGGTCCCCAACCCAGTGGCATCCTTCCTTCCTTCCCTCCTTCCTTCCTTCCCTTCTTCCCTCCCTACCCAAAGAGGCTGCTTGATTTATCTGGTGGACAGGCAGATGAGAGGAAAACTGCACAAGCAGCTTAAAAAGCATTTTTTTTGGTTTTTACAAGACAGGGTTTCTCTGTATTGTTTCAGAGGCTATCGGTCCAGCCCGGCCTCGAACTCACAAAGATCCGCCTGCCTCTGCCTCCCGGGTGCTGGGATTAAAGGCGTGCGCCACCACCGCCCAGAAAAGAAAGCATTTAATCGGTGGCTTGCTTATAGTTTCAGTGGCTTAGTCCATGACCATTACGATGGGGAGCATGGTGGTAGGTAGTCATGGCATTGGAAAAGTAGCTGAGATCAGATACTAGGCCTGCTGTGGGCTTTTGAAACCTCAAACCTCAGCCCCACACCTTCTCCAACAAGGTTACACCTCCTAATTCTTCCCAAACAGTTCTATCAACTGGTTATCAGACATTCATATATATGGGCCCATGGGGGTCCTTCTCATTCAAACCACCACATACCCCTTAAGTCTGGTGGGCATTTTCCTAACTGCTATCTGTTCATGTCGGTTGCTTGAGATGTCCCAGAAGAGATCCTTTTACCATGGGCTAGGCATCAATAAACCCTTTATTTCGTACATCTCTGTTCTCAAAGGTTTGATTTAAAAACAGCTTGGACCAAAGTAACATATCACAATGTAGGACTAAGGACAGTGACTTTTGTTTCTAGTGAAAGAAATTCCCAGCAGTCATACCGGGCTTGTAGCAAAAGTCCCCCATGTCTCTCTCTCTACTGAGGTCTGCAGTAACCATCAGAGCTTGCAATCCAAGTAACCATCTATTCCATTTGCTTTCTAGAACGTGGCCTCGGGCTTCCAGGTGAGCCTGGTCCCATGCACATATCCATCCAGCTCCAGGGACAAAAGTGGTCACCATGTGGCACAGTACAGGACCTGTAATGAGAGATGTCACCTAGTCAGAGCCAGTTCACCTCCATGGGTGAGGCTGAAAGGCTTCCAAAGCATCCTTGGGGTTGTATCACATCTGACAGTGACCTGCCTGGTGTGAGGTGGCACTCAGCAGAGAAAATACATTCGTTAGTTGGTTTTTGGTTTTGGTTTTTTGGGGAGTTTCAGGGTTTGTTGTTGTTATATTGTTTTTTGAGACAGGCTTTCTCTATAGCTCTGGCTTTCCTAGAATTCACTCTGTAGACCAGGCTGGCATCCAGCTCAGAGATGTGCCTGCCTCTACCTCCTGAGTGCTAGAATAAAGCTGTAAACCACCACAGCCCAGCTTATCAGAGGAATGTTATCAATGACCTTCCCCACCTTGACCATCCGTCATCAGAATCCCTGTCATGGTCCAAGTCACCCTCCAAATGACTCCTGGCACACTTCTCCACTGCCACTCTCTGGAAGATCATTTTCCCAAGGCACTTGAGAGACCAGGGCTCAGTACAACATGACTGCCCAGCTGGCTCCCCTTCTAGACTCTAGAATCTAAAGTGAGACTGCCTTCTTTCTCTTGTTTAGACAGAGTCACATGACGTAGACTAGGTGCTAAGATTAAATCATTTATCACCACATCCTGCTAACAGTGAGACTTTAAAAAGGTTTAGTAGCCAGATGGTGGTGGTTCACACCTTTAATCCCAGTACTTCAGAGGCAGAGGCAGGCAACTCTCTGAATTCAAGTAAATTCCAGGAAACCCTGTATTGCAAACAAGAGAACTAAAGTTTTAGTGAGCACGTATCTAATATGCAAGCACTAAGAAGAGTGAGGAGAGAAAATTACAGGTTCAAGGCCAGCCTGGAGTAAACAGTGCATTCTTAGATAGCCTCGAAGGCAGATGCAGGTGGATCTCTACAAATTTGAGGCCAGCTGGGTCTACAGAGTGAGTTTCAGGACAACCAGAACTGCACAGTAGAGAAATATTAACTCAATAAAACCAAAATCAAATCATGGGATCATCTCAATAGATGTAGAAAAAAGACAGCAACAAAATCCATCATTTTTGTATAATATAGATTATTTATATTCTCCTAGAGAGAATAGAACTAAATGGCATATACCAGGATAATAAATGCTATATATGAGAAACCTGTAGGAAGAAACAGTAGGACTGTGCCGCTAACCATAAAAAACATATATTTTGACAAACTTCTATATAGGATCACAGACCCAGAATGCCAGCTAAAGTAAATAAGGTGATTACCAGGATTTTAGACGCTGGAATTGTTGTCACTATCATAAATCAGAAGTTTTGGCCCTAGAGATGGCCTCTAAAAGACGTAAATGTCCAATTCTTATGGATTAGTAAAACTAAGCACTAGACGGGTTGACTTTATTGGGCCAGAAGGACAGAGAGGAAGATTGAAGCCATATGTCACAGATATTGCTATAAATCTCTGGGGTCCTCATCTATTACAGCAATGGAATGTATCAGATTTGAATCATACACAAGCTCTTGGTGGTAGAAAAAAATTGTAAGGCACTACAGAAAACAGATGACAAACATAAAGGCTGTACAGAAACAGATGCTAGTGCCAAACCTACCAGCAATCAAAAGCTCTACCCTTAAAATGGCTAATAGATTAACCTGTCTTGGTAGGTCAATGGCCTATGACCTCTGAGATGTTAGAGGCTTTGGAAAGCTTAGTTCAGGAACAGCTAGATGCTGGACACATTGAAGAATCAAACTGTACATGGAATTCACCTGTATTTGTTACCAAAAAGAAGTCTGGGAAATGGAGAATGGTTAGTGATCTGAGAGCTATCAACAAGGTAATTCAGCCTATGGGCTCTCTAAACCTGGGATTCCACTACCTTCACTAATACCTAAGGATTGGCCAATTGTAGTTATAGATTCAAAAGATTGCTTCTTAACTATACCATTACAAGAAAAAGACAGAGAAAAGTTGATGTTGGGCCTCAGCCCCATGGGGTCTCTGTGAGTTGCTGGTCAGCCTACAAGTGCAACTTGTTTTCCAGTCCAAGTGCTTTCTGTTTTCTAGTCCTGGCTTACTGCCCTGGCCTTGACCCTCTGACATCAACATTCAGCAGGAGGAAAACAACGATCTCTTCTACCTGGGGTTTTTCCACTGTGCTGTAAACCTGTATATAAAGCTCCTCCCTCTTACAAGAGGGAGACCTCTTAGCACTTGTAATGAAGACAGACACACACACACACTCTCTCCTGGCAATAAAGGCAACATGTGCATTCTCTTAGTACAAACAGCTGGATGTCTGGTCTCTCTTTTCCTGATACCCTGGAGTTGCTTGTGGCGCTGGCACCACAAAAGTTCGCCTTCACAGTACCTACCTAACTTTTCCAAAGCCTCTAACTTCTCTGAGGTCATAGACCATTGACTAACATTTTTCTTCCCACAAGTCCCCATGAGATTGTCATCGGCCCATTTCGGCAGGAAGTAGTTTCAAGAATTCCATGCCCCCTCTCCCTACTGTTGATATTGCTGGATAGTTTACACATGTTAGTATTAGTTTTCAATTATTTTAGGGTTGGGTTTGGAAGGAGGTGTTTAGACTTGGGTATTTCTTTCAGATAAGCTTAGGTTTAGATGGGAAATGAGACATTTTGTTCATTGACATAAGTTAGTTTTGTTTTAAGCTTAAATATCTTCTTTAGACTAAAAGGGGAATTGTAGGAAGAGACATTAGGACTGTGCCACTAGCTATGCCCATTTTGGGCGTGACTAGAGGTGTATATGGATGTGGTAATGAAAGGGCGATGAACTGTGCCACTAACCATGCCCACTTTGGGCATGGCTAGAGTTGCGTAAGGAGGTGGTAACAAAAGGCAGTGCAGGAGAGACGCACCTCTATTTTGGGCTTCCAGCTCTGTATCGAAATTTGCTGACTCACCCTGGTTGCCAGATTTTCCTTATAAGTAATTTCTACAATGGTTACCTATACCCTCATCATGAGTGTTGTTTATTGTTACAGAAACCCAAGAGCAAAATCATCCTAAATGGAGAATAACTTGAAGCAATGAGACAGGGATGAGACAGAATTGTCCACTATCCCCACTCCTTTTCAACATTGTGCTTGAAGCAATAACTGGAGCAATACAGAAAGAGAAGAACATTGAAGAGGTACAACTAGGGAAAGAAGAAATCAAACTGTCCCTGTGTTGGATAGTTTTAAGTCAACTAGATACAAGCTAAAGTCATCTGAGAGGAGGGAATAGGAATTTTAAAAAATGTCTCTACAAGATTGGGCTCTAGGTAAGCATATAGGGCATTTTCTTAATTAATGATTGATGTGGAAGGGTCTGGTACATTGTAGGTCTGGCTACCCCTAGGCTGGTGGTCCTGAGTTCTATAAAAAAGAATGCTGAGCAAGCCAGTAAGCAGCATTGCCTCATGGCCTCTGCATCAGTTCCTGCCTCCAGGTTCCTGCCCTGATTCTCTTTGATTATGAACAGTGATGTGGAACTCTAAGTGAACTAAACCTTTTCCTACCAAGTTGCTTTTGCTCATGTTATTTCATCACAGCAATAGTAACCTTAACTGAGATAATCCCTATTTGCAGATGACATGATATTGTACATAAGAGATTCTAAAACTTCTACCAGAAAACTACAAATGATCAACAGTTTCAGCAACATGATCAGATACAGAATGAATATACAATAATCAATGACTTTTCTGTACATCAACAAACATATAAAGAGATTATAAACACACTCCAATTCACAATATCCTCAAAAAAGAAGAAAAGACAGGAAGGCAGGCAGGTAAGAAAGAAAGAGAAAAGAAAAATATCTAGGAATAAACTTAACCAAAAATGTGAAAGACTTCTACAATGAAAATTGTAAAGAAGAAAGAGATAAAGACACTAGAAGATAAAAAGATATCCCATGTTGTGAATTGGTAGATATTGTTAAAATGAATTTCTCCAAAA